GTGCGCTGGCAGTTTGCAATATTCTCGGAGCTTTTTACTTAATTGCGAAAAGGGAAGCTTCCAGCTGAGCAGTTGGGAAGATGATCTTATCAGAGGCAGCGAAATTATTGTGAGATGGGGTTACGTGAAGATGTGCGCCTGCTAGGAATGCGCCGCGTGCGCTCGGAAAACGTGAGCTTATATGTAGGCCTACATACGTGGCTCGCACCGGCTGTACTGCGATATGCACCTATTGCTCGGTTTGTGGCGGCCATTTTGAATTCTTGGCTTCTGATGGTTCTATGGCGTAATTAGTCTAGGATCGTGCATGAGTGTTTAATGAGCAAAACAATACCAAATATTTGATGATTGGCCAAATATTACAGAAGTTATTGCAAGTTTAGCATGCCCACCCCCTTAATTTATCGGCACTCAGATGGGCACAGATACCACAGTGGCACCCGGTGGATTCTGGTTCAGGATATTCTAACGATCAGGAAACCACAAAAAAACCTTGTATATACCCGATTGCAACGTACGTTCAGTCATTTGGCAACCGGACTATATATATTGGCTCGGCTTATCTAGTGGCCGAAATCGTGCCGTTATTATTTGGTCTAATAGCAGGGCAGGGACAGAGATTGCTCCTCTTCATGTATGCTTGCACATATCTTAGCATATGTGCGGTAGCATAAGGCATTCGTTTGTAATCTATGGTTTAGATGTGAAGTCGACGCTTGTATTGTATTGTATTGTATTGTATTGTATTGTATTGTATTGTATTGTATTGTATTGTATTGTATTCTATTCTATTCTATTCTATTCTATTGAATTGTATGGTATTGCGATTACACGAGTAGGTATTGTTTTGGGCTCGTCTTTCATTTAGCTTGCCGACCACAGCTCTGCGTCACTAATCTATGCTCGAGCACCCTTATCCGCTCTGGCAACCAACTATACTTTCCGTGCAACCTGATATACCAGGAGTATTATAATATAGACTATATTATAACACTCGTGATATACTCTATGCCTTCGTCCCATTGGCCCCTTGCACCCTAGGAGAGAGAGAGAGAGAGAGAGAGAGAGAGAGAGAGAGAGAGAGAGAGAGAGAGAGAGAGAGAGAGAGAGAGAGAGAGAGAGATTCTCTCTCTCTCTCTCTCTCTCTCTCTCTCTCTCTCTCTCTCTCTCGAATGGATTGATAGATAGATAGATGGATAAAACGATGGCTAGATAAGCATATTCACAGTTATATTACCGTATTTGTTTATTATTTTGTTAGTATTATTTATTTACATTATTATGAGAGAACAGTTGGGGGTGTGTAGCTTTATATATATATATATATATAGTACCGGTTGGTCCCCACTGTAGCTGCGTCGTTGTCTCATCAGTAAACACGTTTACAGGCAGCTCTATGTGCTCTCCTCCTTCACCGCATCCTCGCAGCCTCTTCACGGCCGGTACGGTGGCGCCAGCTGTGATTCTATAATCTGCCGCTAGGTAGGACTGCTGTCGCAGATTGTTGGCAGGGTCCAGACTCCACGTCGCCGGTAAGAGCACGGTGACCTCACGGAAGTGAACGCCACCGCTCGTCGCCCGGTAGAGGGCGTCCGAAGCGTCAATGTAGATCGCCTACTCTCACAGAGATCAACGAACACGTAGATGCATTAAGTTTAGCTCAAACGAGGTAGTAAGAAAGAAGCAGGGAGAGAGAAAGAAAGAGAGAATAAGTAAACGCGAGAGGAGAGAGGAGAAAGAACAGAAGAGAGGGCAGAGAGGAGAGGGGAGAGAGGAGAGGGGAGAATCCATCCGTCCATCCGTCCGTCCGTCCACCCGTCCATCAATCCATTCAGCCACCCATTTATCCATCCATCCTTCATCCATCCATCCATCCATCCCTCCATCCATCCATCCATCCATCCATCCATCCATCCATCCATCCATCCATCCATCCATCCATCCATCCATCCATCCATCTATCCACCCATCCATCAATCAATCATTCAATCAATCAACCCATCAATCCATCCATACATCCATCCATCCACAAGCCACCACACCAATCCATACATCCATCCATCCACCCATCCATCCATTCATCAATCCATCCATCCATCCATCCATACATTCATCCATCCATCCATCCATCCATTCATCAATCCATCCATCCATCCATCCAT